GTTCTGGGACTACACTAGCCAAGTGCCACTGCAAGCATGTCGAGCGGATCCACCCCCGGCATACCACCCAAGGCTTATTAGTCCCGCGGTGCCTGATCCCCGTGAAACGGTGACTTTGTTATCACTCAACCTGGTGTGTAAGTATTAACCCGCGCCCTGATGGGGGGGGGGCCATTTTGGCCCCCCCTGTGGTTTTTCTTAAATAGCGAGAAAACGGCGGCGCGCAGCGCCGCCAAATTTTGGGTACCTTACCGGGCATCAATTTGACACCTTCACACAAAATTTCAAGTCACAGGTCACCTCAGGTCAGGAGTTATTGAGGGCAAACTGAGGTCTTGTTCGAGCAAAAATGAGCAAAAAACATGACATCTTGAAACGCTCACCAATTCTACAGTTAACAAGCAATTTTAAAGTTCTTTATGTGGTTGTGTAGAGAAAAGACGGCGCTACAAAACTGCTATCTCGGATTTTCGAAATTTTGGGATTTTGACCCCCAAAAATCAAAAAAATTGATTTTTTTAGAAAAACTCAAAAATTTTCCAAAAAATTTTCAAATTTCGAAAAAACCGGAATATATGTGATAGTCCCTGCGCTCTTCGATATACATACCAAATTTTAGATCGATACCTCTTTTTTTGGCCAAGTTATAGCGAAAAAACTGTTAAAAATTGATGACGTCAAATTTTTGAACTCAATTTTTAGCAATTCTAGACCTCGTAGCGCAAAACGGAGACCACCATTGAACTCCCCGTGACGAGCTGCATCGAATCGATACCAATTTTATGCAAAAATATCAACTTTGAAATTTGACCTAATTTGACCTGACCTTGACCTGACCTTGACCAAAACGTGACCTAAGCTGGCCCTGAAGTCTGTCTGACCCACATAATCGCATTTGTCATGTAAAATGGACCATAAAACATGTATCACACGACACTTTCATATTGTGGCCCCCCCAGTGACCTGACCTCTGTGACCTGACCTGGTATCAGTGACCTCAAATAGCAATATATGTGTTTGAAGAACATTTCTCCATCGATGATTTTCAATGAAATGCATTTTACTCGATTTTACAACGCATTTCTTGAAATGCCTATAAACGGTGAAAATTCGACCTTTGACCTGACCTGTGACGTCATCGGTTTGACCGAGGTCAATGAAATTGGGTCACAAGGTAGTTCCCCGCTGGGGCTATCCAACACCGTTTACCGCTTGTCGCTATGTTGCGTGGTTCTCGAGATCTGAGGGGGGGGGGCCAAAATGGCCCCCCATCAGACCGCGTTGCTCGGCAGACCCCATCTGGGCGCGGGTTAACCCGCGCCCTGCTGGGGGGGGGGGGTGTTTGAACACCCCCCATTGTGGTTTTTTGCGAATATCTCAAAAACGGCGGCGCGGAGCGCCGCCGTTTTTGGTACACCTTATCATACATCAATTCTACACATGTTGTGAAAATTTCAGACCAAGGTCATTCAAGGTCAGGTCACCAGGTCACTTGAAGTGACCTCACCTCATAAAAAGTTTCAATGTCTGTCATAGCTACACCGAGTGACCGATCGCTTTGAAACTTTCAGCGATTGCTAAGAGCAATAGCATGTACAAAATGTATATCTCAGAATTTTGATATCGATGACCTAAGGTCAGGTCAATTTTGCGACCTCCCCATTATAAGTCAATGGGAGAAAATTGAAATGCGCCTCTTTTGGACGAAAGACATTATAAACACTCCCAAACACCGAATTACAAGTGGTTTAGACACACTGAACATGAAAATGGTGTCCGTGACCCTTGTTTGTGCCCTGAGGTCATCTTAGGTCACGAATGGTATCTAACAGTTTTTCGCAAATAACTTTTGATAGAGGCATGCTAGAGCGATGAAAACGCCTTATATGTGTTCAGCTCGACAATACGGATCGACTGATATGCAACATGACCCTTTCCGGTCAGGTCATGACCTTGACCTGAGGTCAAATTTTCAAGTTGACCTTTCAAGGTCAAGTCATAGTTCATTCGATGCGTCTTGACGAGAGGAACACGATGCCGGTGAAAGTAAGCTCGTACAAGGCTTGGGTCAAAAGTTATTGCAGAAAAACTGTTTCCGAAAAAATCGGCTATTTTTGCAGTTTTTGTCCCCTGCAGGCAAAACCGTTGACGTTAGGTCAAATCTCAGAGAATTACTCAGAAAGGGCGTTAATAGGGCTATCGAATACACTTTTCCGCGGCGCTGTAGCTCTATTGGTTCCCGAGTTATGCGTTGGCTTCTTGGAAATTTTCGATATTCGACCTGGAAATCGGCGAAATTTTGCCTTCAATGACCTCTGGTGACCTCACCTTTGACCTGACCAAAAAATTGACCGAAGTGATTTCGTCATTATTTTTGACGCTCTTTCGAACGCCGCCTTCCGCGTATCGCTACGTGGCCCAGGAGCCGAGTTACAAGGGGGGGGTGTTCAAACACCCCCCCCCCCCCCAGCAGGGCGTGGAAATCCAGGACCCCCAGCCGGGCGCGGGTTAACGCGATATTTTCGTTGTGATTGGTCGCATTCAGTTATGTAAAACAACACATTCAAACAACACAAACATTTTATACGAGTTTAACTCTGATTCCAGCTCCCTCAACCTCTCCATCCTCTCTCCCCGCTCTCCTCTGTCCTCTGCCCCGGCCCACCGGACCTGCGGCGGCGGCCGGCGGCGGCTCGGGACCATTCCCCAGGTGCGACACCATATTACACGGACCACGGGCGCCGTCAGGTGTGTAATATCCGAGATGAACCGGCGTCGGCACCGTCACCTGTTGGCCCACAGGGGGGGGGGGGCGGAAACGATGGGGGGGGGGGCGATCTGGCTCAGCGACTGAGATGGAAAAGGGTTGGTGACAACGAGAAGGATGTCGTTTGCCTACGATATCGGCAGCAAAATATCCCCGTAGTCAAACATCTGAAAGTCTCGTAGACCACAACGCATTTATCAAACGTCAAACAGCCTGTAACAAGTTAGTTTCTGAAAATTGTAACAATGTCTCCGCCGATTGCCCCGAGCTGCGGCTGACAGTAGGGTATGGTTGCCTGACCGGTAAATTAACCTCTGAACCGGGCCCGGCTGGGCGCCGACTCCATAGACCAGGCCGGTAGGGACAGGACGTTCCCGGCCGTACCCGAGTAACTCTTCTCCGAGCGGCAGGAAATTGTCTGTCCGAGCCACGCCCGGGGCCACGCTGGCCGGCCGACGGATGGTCTCGTGATGACCTCCGGATGACCTCGTATGTAACCCGCATCGCCGGGCACCGCCACCTGACACCGAGCCAGCGTACCCCGTCCAGTGGGGTCGGTCAGCGATCTATAATAGCTGCCCGTACTTCGTACGAATAAGCTACAGCTTCATTAGTTATTTCGACGCTAGCGATTTTGTCACTAGCTATAATGAAGCACTAGCTATTTTGCTCTACTAGCTATATTGACGCTAGCTGTTTTGTCTCTAGCTGATTTGAGGTACTAGCTGTTTTGCATTACTAGCTATTTTGGCGCTAGCTGTTTTGTCACTAGCTGTTTTGAAGCACTAGCTCTTTTGTACTAGCTCAAAAGTCACTAGCTCAATAGTCACTAGCTGTTTTGACGTGGACCCGGTCAGCGGGGTAGACCCGTCGTACCGTCCTAAGGATCAGACCCGAACCATCCCGTGGGACCGCATAAATAACTGGATCCATATCGTCCAGTGGTATCAAATAGATCACATCCATGCAGTCCAATAGAAGCGTCAGCGGATCAGACCCGTACTGCCTACAGGTAACGTCCAATGGGGTAGAATGGGTGATCGGTCCACTAACCGGTCCGCCTCTGGCCAGCTCTGTAGCAGACACCTACATACATATCCCGTCTGCCTGTGGGTGCAACAGACACCTCGGGTACATTGCCTGTCGACCGTCGGCTGGGCCTGCCAGCTCCAGTACCGGTCCGGCAGCGGGACTCCATTGGTAAATGGACCCTTCAGAACGTCAGCTGGGGTGCTGCGGAGGACGCGTGATTTCACAGAGCTCAGCAACACACCGTACGCTGCTCGAATAGCTTCTAAAGGAACGTACCGGAGTAAATGGGAAATCCCGACCTGTCAATCACTCACGGTCCTGAAAATGAGCGGCAAAGCACATTCTTGCACAAATAATTTAATAAGTTGTTTTATCGTTATCGATATCGTACGCCATTGTGGCTTGTGCTATGACAAACGAAACAATAGATGGGATGAGAGAAGTAAATAATGGTAAACCGATGAAAAACGGCAAAGGCAGTGTCAATCCAGCTCTTCTCCTCCGCAAATAACAATACTCGCTTTGACTGTCCCGGGTGAGCCTGTTGACAGGATAATCCTCCATCAATATCGCCGTTAAAGCCTCGCCACCACTCATGCAGTGCGTTCATACCGCTGGTAATGCAGTAACGCCGTGATATTCTGACCTCTGATCTCCGCCGCCGGAGCCAATCCGGCAGGACGCAGGCGACACCTTGTACAGTCTGTCTTAAAAGTACCGCGCAAAGTGACGGTGGATCCATCAAGCCTGACCGATGAAGGACTGCCAAATTTGAGTCACCGAAGCAATGGACATCCTCGTCCATTCCCCAGCTCCATTGGTTCGGTGACTTTCAAATTATAGCAGGCCCTTCCTCGGTCAGGCTTGATGGATCCACCGTCACTTTGCGCGGTACTTTTAAGACAGACTGTACAGTACAGCAACGCAGAGGGCGCTTCCAGGGGCTCACCGACCAGACGGAATAGACGATAGGACATTCCCTACTGAATTAGACAGAGCTGATCGAAGTCGCAGGGGGGGGGGGGGGGGGGGGGCAGCTGGACGAAACCGATCACATGTCAGAGCGCCCATCGAGACAGACGTCCAGGAAAAGGTATGGAACTAAAACCACTTCAGGGTGATAGCGGTCTCGATATTAGAACCTCCCAACACTCAACATCCGACAGCCCTTCGCCTATGATTATCCATATCAGACGCAATCTTACAAGCGTATCTACATTGTATTTTCATAGCAAAGCAGTCATATAAGACATCATTTCAGGCAGCTTGCAGTTCGTGATAAAAAATCATTAGCCCTTCATACATCGTGCCACAGCGTGAAATCACATATATAACCCCACGGTCACGTGATCACTGAAAGTCCTCCTCGTCCGAGCTGATGAAAATGACTCCCTTGGAGCGCTTGCTGCGCTGTTTGGCGGCCGAGCCGCGGGGTGGCAGCACCGTCTTCCTGACCAGCTCCGGTGATTGGCTGTCCGCCTGGGAGACGGACGGACACACAGTCCGTTAGGAATCATGATTAACAATATGGCTAGCATGTACAGTAGATAACCGACAGAAATACAAATTGTTTGGTCAGATGCCCGTGATTGGTATCAAGTACGGCGAAGAGTACTTTGTTTATAATCCACTACCAACACCGACGCCCACAGACTCACTAAGACTCACAGCGACAATATTGGTCACACAGTCTTTCCTTGCCCTCCTGACTATATAGCTGCAGATGCTCATCCTTGATCACCCATCCCTGCTTTGGGGTTAGCAGTCACTCCAGCAGACAGATGTTGGCGGCAGCTCCAATAGGAGCACGCCCCTCCCGGCGTGACCGGTTAGTTCCAGCTCCATCAGAGTGTCCTATCCCACGGAACGGACTCAGCCACCGCGGCGTACCTTGGTGATTTTATGATGAGACGATAGAGAAGAGACACGAGCAATGAGGATCGTATCTGTCGTAGCTCAATGTCTCCCTATTTTACCCTGACCGCCCAGAAATGGTCGCTGTAGGCTGAAAGGACCCAATAAAGCAAGCCCCGACGAATCGACTCCTACTGTGTGGTAGAGCGGTAGTGAGGTGTGAGGTCATGCGGTCGACGCAGGTCACGTACCTGTGCTGTGACGGCGGAGGGGGCGACGGGCGTCTCTTTAAACAGCGGCCTCTTGCCGGCTGCTGCGGGGAACGGAAACACACGTCAGATAATTACCTAAAACTGTGTAGTTTGACCTCAGGACAAAATATAAGTTTAATATTTGCCTTTTGAAGGAGGAGCTGCAGCATCGCCGCTGTCCGCTCACCTGAACAGACGACCACCTGGCGCGGGGACTTTCCCTCGTCCTCCCCAAACAGTGGCGGAGACTGGGGTCGGCCGTTCTCCTTATCCGCTGGGGCGGCGCTGGGAGGCGGCGGCCGCTCCTCCGCCGGTGCTGCCGCCTGCCGGCCGTCCGCCGCACTACCGTCCGCACCGGTCGGCTCCCCGTTCCCTGACCCCGCCGCGCCGTCCAGTACCGGGGTACCCTGACTGGTGAGCAGCGGTACCAACCGCGTCTGGCCCTCCTCCGTCAGCCGCAGGTACTTCCGGCCGTTCACCGTGATCACCTCCTGACGCTGAGCGGCTGCCGAGCTGGCGAACTGGTTCACCGGGACCAGCACCAGCTTCCGGGCGCCGCCGGCGACACCTACCGGCGGACTGCCGTACTGGAACTGCGCGGCGCTGACGGCCGGCGCCGCCACCGGCGACTGCCCGTTCACCACGGACATCGGAGAGGAGGCGCCAGAGAGGTTCAGATCGATGGCAGGACCCGGACCGGCGGCGGCGGCGGCGGCCAGCTTCTCCGCCTCGGCAGCGCTGTGGGGGGGGGGGGGCGTCAGGCATGGCTGGGGGGGGGGGGGGGGGGGTGGAGAATCCCTATCCGAGTCTCCGCAGCCCTTCCACCGAGTCCCTCCACTCCCACCCTCCCCTCCCTCCCGTCTCCCTTCACTCTAGCTGCTCCCGCTCCCCACTCACTCCTGTTCCTGTTTGCGTTTCCTCTGCTCCTCCCGCCTCTCCTCTGTCCAGTGCTGCATGTCGGCGGCGAACTGTCTCAGGCTGTCGGCCACCTCCGGCCACTTGCTCTGGTGACGCACCAGGCTGCGCACCCACTTGGAGAGGCCGTCGACGCCGCGCGGCCGGCCGAACCGGTCATCCACCAGCAGGATAGCGCCCCAGTCGTACCGGTGGCGGATACAGCGGCCCAGCGCCTGGTTCAGCGCCCTGTCAACGGAAACACGCCCATTATACACACAGATGCATACAGCGCCTGGTTCAGGGCCCTGTGAGCCAACAGAAACAGACTCATTTTATACACACAGCGGTCAGTCGTTCCGGTGGCGGATACATAGGCCCAGCGCCTGGTTCAGCGCCCTGCAGGCCATCAGAAACGGTCTGGGGACGGGTCGAGGAGAGACCGACAAACGCACACTGATAGGGTCGAGAAACAGGCCGGTTACGGCATGCATATTACATATCCATATTAGCACCAGCGTTAATTCATGGAAGATGAAAAATGTTTCAGCTTTTACTGTAAATTCATCTACGGTATCACATCAGTAGGCGGAACTATGGTCAAGCGTACCCATTTTCGGGAACGCATTTTCGTCCCCATGTTTGGGAACGATAAACCCAAATATGGGAACGCCATGTAGGCATTATTTAAAACAAGAAAAAGAACCGTTAAATGACGTCCAAAAAATATAAAACGATCGTGAACCGCCTGATATTTGTCTCAATTTTGTTGGGAAAGAGTTTGATATTGTAAGGCCCATCGTAGTTTCAAATCTATATTACTATTTGAGGAGGGTGCGTCTGTCCGTTACCGAGGTCCCGACTTGGTGGTGCTTTGCGTGGACTACAGGCCAGACCGTTGCACCTAGCGTGGTGAAATTTGCACAACTCATAGATCAAGGATGCGCGACGTGCCTTTGAGGGGTCTGGGCTCGATCGGATTGATAGGGAGCGCGTGGCGCGTGCCCAAAAAGTGCAAATTCGCGTCATAGACTTTACATGTATAAATCGGCGTGCGAAATCGGGCGAAAACGGCTAATTTTGGCCGACACGGTTCCGGTCCCGGTGCAATATCTTGGTGACCAGGGGTCCGACCGGCACGGGGAAAACAGCATCGTGTACAGAATTGAACGGGCTATTGAATGGTGTGCAATGCAGAGGATAGCACGCTCCACGTGCACCGGAGAGGGCACTTTTATTTGAAAAATTGCGTTTTTTGAGGGATTTTGGAATTAATTTTATTTTTAGGTGACTGTTAAATGGAGCGAGTTGAATCAACGCCTATTTGCAAGAGAAAGGTACCGCCTCTCATATAAAAATTGTGAAAAGCTGATTGATCCAAATCAAGGTGGTGCAAATCACAGGAGAAAATGGTGTTTGTCAATTTTGTGCCACTTTATTAATCACACGGGGTTCGCTGCATAACCTGATACCTTTGGCAATTGAATATGGTACCATTGGATAGGTCATTCAATTCTGTCCAATATTCACTCTTCATTTTTGCATGATTAGCAACAGTATCCATAAAAATGTAAATGTTCCAAACCATTACATTGTCATTTTTAGCGAAATTCATCGATGGCCCTCAAAAGACTTCACGCCAGTTTTCGAATCATTCTAAAGTAGAACGCATGATAATACGACACGGGCACCTCGATGCGATGTATCTTTTTTGTTTTATTACAAAATGCTTGGCCGTCAAAAAGCAATCGAACGAAATGGATGCCAACCAAATCGACACAGACCAACCCAATACTCACGGGTAAAAAAATAACCCTTCTTCGCGTTGCGGAGCACGCGGGTAACCCTAGTCGTTCCCCTATTTCTAAAGCAGTCCATCATCCGGGCCGCGAGCCCAAATTTGGGAACGCTCTCGTACACTGGCGCTGCAAGCGTTCCTTATTATGGGAACGGCGTACCCAAAATTGGGAACGATTTCACCGACGCCTTTCAGGGGCTCTTTTCATTAACAAGCATCACGTCCAACGCCGCAAATTATTGTTAACGCAACAATCATCAGATGACCTTTCCGGCAAGACCGTCGCATGTTTCGCCCGGTCTTCTGCGCTTTTATTCCCGTCGATCTCCAGTGGCGGCGCCAGCCCCTCGTGACCGGTTAGGCACTCTGTCATGGCCAGGTGGGAGTCGAGGTACCCCAAGGAGTTATCACCAAGCTTAATTTGCCCCTAATTTGGCCAGCAGAGCAGGCGTGGCGCTCCCTCTCCCGGTGCCGTCAGCCACTCGCGCTTCTCGTAGAACTCCGGGTTGAATCTCCGCTTGGTTTTCCCATACTGCATACAACAAGGAAGGGGTAGAACGCCTTTTTAGGCAAGGCAGATCTTCACTCCCAGCTTCAAATGGGAAAAATCATGCACAACAACAATCATACCACCACTACCACCATGCCCATCACCACCACCATCACCACTACCACCATCACCATCACCACTACCACCACCACCACATCTCATGCTTCAGCACCACCACTACCACCACCATCTGCATTCAAAGGAAAGACCTTTCCCAGGTGTCTTTTTAAGTGCATCAAGTGTCAAACTTTAAATAAGGTCATTGCCCATAATTCAAAGCCCATTTCCAACCCATATTAAAAACAACAACAGGAAGTACATTTTCATATAGCAAAGGTGTGTAGTGTACAATCTACAAGAGCACAAATAGTATGCATGGTGCTAATTCATAAATAGTATAAACTCACAAATAGTATAAAGCAGTACCAACTGCCAAAATAATGTACAAATTAAGGATACAAGCTTCAAGATAGCCACATTTAGGTATTGGTCCTAGCAAAGATGTACCTAATTAGCTATATGGGCTGCAAGCACCAATCTAATCCAATGCAATCATATGTACATTTTATGACAAAGGCAAATGGAACCATCATCTCAGCATGATGCTGAATCAGAGAAAGGTTCAGGCTTTTAATATTGCACTGCAATCTTTACCATGCCAATTGGCATGGTAAAGATTGCAGTGCAATATTAAAAGCCAAATTTAAAAAACAGCCCATACAGCCAAACACTGACCATGAAACAACAATGTGATTCATTTTCAAGCATAAACACTGGATTCACCTTTCTATGTTTTTTTCCAACATTAAACATTGAGCGTGTTAATATGGTCTATTATGTAGGTAACTACATTGAAAATCATTAGATATGGAACATCTTGAACTGATACATGCACAGTTCCTGGAAAGTGGAATATCCCACTTGTGCCTTGTCAACAACATTCAATTAAAGTTTGATGACTAGATTTCACTTCCTGCACACCCATTCTAAACATGGGTGAAGCAAAACAATTATTATAAATGACTATCAAAATCAGCACATCAGCATCAGCATATCCACAAAAAAACAGCCTTGACATGTTCCATGTATTTCACTCTGACACCAGTCTACATAATTCAGGATAGCATAACTAGTCAAGTCATAGGTAACTGAATGATTTCCACATTCCACAAATCACTCAAAACAACCAAACAAGTAACTAGCAAAATGAAACAAATGACACCAATTTTGATTCAAGTACATTCATCAAAATACACTATTAAAACAGCCAATGCAGCAATTCAGCACAATAATTTAAATCAAAATTAAACAACACAATAAGAGGTGAAACTGAAATGTCAAATGAATATGTATGCCTCGTCTGTCAATGCAGTTTAATACAAATTTGAAGTATACAAAATATGATACCCTCACTATAAAATTAAAACCTTTGGGAGGAGGGCCATGACCCCAATGGACCACTAGGATCCACCTAGATCCACCTGTGATTCCGCATTGCTATTTTTGTGATGCCATTGTGTTTTTAATTTGCATTGTATGCCTTTTTTTGTTCAATAGATCAGCCACAGTCAAGGGAAGGTATGGTGAATGAATACACTGGTGTCTTGAGCACCCCACTTACCTGAGCTTCCCACTTAAGATCTGGTTTCGGCCGCCCATCCTGAACAATTTTCACCTTCTCAACATAGCTTCTAATAGCAAAACTATTCCTTAGCAGCTCATCAACGATGCTTGGGCCAGACATGTCTTCCTTTCATTTAAAAGTACCTATTAAAATGTTGAAACCAACATGAAACAAACATGCTAGGACAGTAACAACCACAAGTAAAATAACATAGCAATCCCACCAACTATCACGTACAACAAAAACGTTCAAATCAGAAACGAGACGATGCCAGCCTTAACCGCCAAGAACTAGCCAAATTTATTGGCAGGTCTTGTTCGAATCTTGTCCTTTCTCAATGATTACCGCCAAGAAAGGCAGGTTAGGCGTGCCTGATAGCCCAACATTTCTGGAGTTGCCAGCCCATGTAAATTGAATGCAGGAATCTGGACATGAGGCAGCTAAATTATTGCACACTAGGCTGCATTTAAATTATAGCGATTAATACGTGCATGAGTTGAATGTTGGGGTTAGTAGGGTAACTATGTGTTATCAAGCCACTAAAATCATTGGGAAGAAATATTTTTAATTTAAAAAACAAAACAAAAAAAAATCAGAAATCTAACCCAGAAAATTCTGGTTAGGCACTGCCTGAGTTGCCTTAATGGGCGAACCGCCACTGTCGATCTCGCAGCGGGTACGCCCCCTCTGCAGGATTACGTAATTCACAACGCTCAGCGATGTTCAACAATGTCTTCTATACCTATATCCACCGTCCGCGCCGAGGGTGGAGACATGTCAAGCACCTGCCTGTTTATCACCGATAGTTGACGAGCACAAGGAAGTATCCAAAAATGGGAACGCTGAATATGTTACACCCTCAAAACACCTAGTCCCAATGAAAATCTAGTTTTTTCCTTTCTTAATGAGTGTAAGTGGCAAAAAGCCTGGTAGGATGGGCACGAGGAATGATCGAAATCAGCATAAAAATTATAAATAAGCCACACAGAGCGACCTATATAAAAGAAATTCCCCCAAAACGATCATGCTTAGAAACACGGAAGACAAAAACCACGCTCATGACGCTCCTTATAAAACAACGCTTAACAGCTAGCATCCAAATAAAATATGTCTTTCCGGGCTGATAAAATACAGCTGAATAATTTTAAACCACTGAAACTGAGTTTACAACAGTAGTTCGGTAAAATCACTGACGTTCCACGCGGTCGTGCGTCCCGACACCAAAAGTCAACAATATTACCTCGGGGCTGTCCGCGTGTTCGCTTGCATATGTCAGCACCTGGTGTCGCTATTATGAAACTTCATAACCAGGCGAAAATTATTATACTTGACCTCAAAATGTAAAAAACACTTCATTTTCCTTAAAATTGCATGTTAAATGTAGTATAACCCATGTTTTCACCATTCCGTCATTTCAAAAAATCATTAAAAATATCATTCGACGGTCAATTTCCTTGTTCAACGGTCAGATTAAAGATAATTTTATAGAGACTTAGTAGATACTTAAATTAGCGTGCACTTTTTTGAGACGTGATGCACTAATGAGTTTTAGTGGGCGAACGGCCGAAAAATTACCTTCCGTTCTCATAAATGGGAATGCCCGTTTCCATATTTGGGAACTCCGTTCCCAAAAATGGGAACGTTCCTATATTTGGGTACTCATGACCATAGTTCCACCTACTGACATGTGAGAGCTCAACATAGCTCGGCTATATGGAGCAACCTGCTTACCTGAATTCCTGGTTGACATTCTACATTTCACCTGTAGGCCTGTATCCCGTACCCTGTCGCATCGCCTGTACTCTTGAATGATGTACTGTATCTCTCCTGTACATATGCTTGAATGCCATGCTATATTGCTATGCCTCACCCGTATTCCTGCATGCCAAAGGTATCTCACCTGTAGGCCTGAATGCCGTACCACTCGTGTCCGCTCAGCAGGCCGCGCGTGGAGACGTGCGAGCTGTTGTACTGCTTCTTCAGGTCCACCTGAACGTCCTTGACGTTCGGAAACGGGATGCCCACCTGGGGAGACAGAGTGATGGAACAATCAGGGAGAGAGTGACACACAACTCAGGGAGCGCAGCGAAAAACTCGGAGAGAGCGATAGAGAGCTTGGGTGGACGGAAGTAGTGAACGGATTAGACGAGAGACGATAACAGAAGAGCCATGGAACAAATAAGAAAATGAAAGGGCATCGCGGGCGCGACTGGTCTCTTTCTCAATCAATCATGGTCACGTCACTGACATCCCTTTTTAAATAACACTTAATAATAGCTGGGCTTCCCTAAACTAACCGTGACCACGGCCCGAGCGCTGTCGTCGGAGAAGTCGATGCCCTCGCTGAGTTTGCCGCGGCAGACGGCCAGCAGCAGTGCGCCAGTATCGTCTCCTTCCGTCACCAGGTGACGGAACTGGCGCATCATGTCCTCGAACTCGTCGGCGCGCCGCGGCTCGCAGAGCACCGGTTTGCGGGCCTCCAGTCGGTCCCACAGACCCGTCATCTGCCATCTGTCGGATAGAACGGGACCTAATAGTACTGCACAGCCCCGCTGGAAGCGCGGTGATTGGGCAGTGACCGACGTCCTCCACTGTTCGAGTGTGAGGTTCACTGTCAACAAATGTGATTAAAAAGCCAAAATTATCCAATGGTTATTACTTAGCACGATTCTCATAATCGTAATGTAAACAGGCAGCAATATTCCCGTTCCGGACGCACGTTGTCAACTAAAACGTCTAAAAAAACAAGGTTCAGTAGAAAAATGTTGTGGATCAGTCGAGCCGCCCCCTCCCCCTCCCTGGACAGCTCCAGTTCAGTGCCCCACTCGTAGCTCACCTCCTGGCGAGTTTGTCGAGCATGCTGTAGGAGGGGAAGAAGCACAGCACGCCGTTGGGTATGGCGGCACACACGCCCAGCAGCAGCTCACCAAGCTCGTCCTGGAAGCTGAACTGCTCAGAGTTGCGGTAGGTGGCGTTCATAGAGCGCCGCCGCGCGGACCGTGGCTGATGGCCGACACGTACACCTGAGCAGGGTGGAGAGAGACGCCGGTAATGGTCTGCACTCGACAGACTCAGGCATGTACAGTTGTGTCATCATACGCGACAGTTTCAGCCCGTAGCTGATGGCCGAGACGGGAATACCTGACGGGATGGAGAGACACCGGGTAATGGTTGGCTTATTTAAACAAAGGCCCCCAGTTACACGAGGAATGAGTGGGACGATTGAGTGGCAGATGGGCACTACAAAGCACAAGGCTGTGCTCGATATAATATATTGTCAACACAGACGTGACATATTAACGACCTTGACACGGCGTAAAACTCAGACCTCCGATGTAGGTACCCCACCGATCCTTCTCCACCGCTCTCACCCTCTCACCGCTCTCACTCTCTCACCGCGCTCACCCTTTCTCAACTTCTCGCCGCTCTCATCTCTCACCGCGCTCACCTGGTCGGCGCTGG